ACACAAAAGCTTTGCCATAACAACTAGATACTCGTATTCAATTGTTCCACTGTTTACGTTTGTCAATGCTCAGTGTAATTCCAATCAGTAGTGAGTGGAGTTCAAACATGGAGCCCCAGCTGGTGTGTTGTGTCGTGTCTGCAACGGTCAAAATGAACAGATTTTTGTCGGCATTTTGAACGCAGTCTATTGAGCATCTATATAAAGCCCAACATATGGAAAACGTTTAGGGACAATCAGCAACCGACAAACGGCCATTTGGTGCCCGTTATTATACGCGGGAATCTTTTTAGCTGGAAACACAAGTGAATATTTTAAATGTCAAGGAGGACTTTTTGCACCCGCTTTAATCGTCAACGACGGGCTGGCAAGTCGCCGACAAGCTCTTGGGCGCTCACGAAACTCTTTTTAGACGCTTACTTTTTCAGTGCGTTGCCATACACAACATCTTATGAAATATTGGAGTATCTCAGCGAATAACCAATTACCTTCTAACATGTTCGCCACGACAAACCTGTAAAAGAATAACTTTATATAATTGACGAGTAATATTCTACCAAACAGAGAACAAATAACATTCTTGCTGACTATCAAAAAACTTTTTTGAAAGTAAAGGCCCTTAAGCTGTACTATCAAAACCTGAAGTCGTGCTATCAAAACCTGAAGCCGTACTATCAACACCTGAAGCCGTATTATCAACACCTGAAGCCGTATTATCAACACCTGAAGCCGTAAACCTGAAGCCGTACTATCAACACCTGAAGCCGTATTATCAACACCTGAAGCCGTACTATCAACACCTGAAGCCGTACTATCAGAACCTGAAGCCGTACTATCAACACCTGAAGCCGTATTATCAAGACATCATGGTGATGTCTATGTCTAGTGAGAGGTTATGTCTGCATCGCGGTGATGCCTATGTCTGGTGAGAGATTATGTCTGCATCGCGGTGATGTCTATGTCTGGCGAGAGGTTATGTCTGCATCGCGGTGATATCTATGTCTGGTGAGAGGTTATGTCTGCATCGCGGTGATGTCTATGTCTGGTGAGAGGTTATGTCTGCATCGCGGTGATGTCTATGTCTGGTGAGAGGTTATGTCTGCATCGC